TCGGCCGTGATGCGGTAGTAGACAAGGAACAAGGCCGGGAGGACGCCAAAGCCAAAGAGCACGCGCCACATGATCTCGAGGTTCTGGTCCGTCTCATCGAGAGCGTTGACCATGATCAAACCGAGGATGCCGGCCGTGAAGAAGCCGACACCTTGCAGCGAGAACGTCAGCGACACGCGGCGGTTGCGGTCGGCGGGCGACGTGGCATCTTCCGACGACGACGACGCCGCCAGCGGGTACTCGCCACCGATACCGAAACCGAGGACACCGCGCGCAATGACCAAGAACCACAGCGTGCCATGGGCCGAGCCGCCGTAGGCTGCGGCCGTGAGGATGCCACCAATGATCAAGATGGCGCAGGTCGCAATCATGCAGTTCTTGCGGCCGTACATGTCACCGAGAAAGCCAAACGTGAGCTGCCCGAGGACAGCGCCGATGAGCGCGGCCGTCGAGACGTTGGACTTCATGTCGGCCGTGTACTCGGTGCGGTACTGGTGCTTGAGGATGATGTTGACGATGTTGATGACCTGGAGGTCGTACGCGTCGTTGAAGAAGCCGAGGCCGCGGAGGAAGAACTTGTTGACCATGCTGGCGGGACGACTGAGGAAAAGGCAAAGTGAGCTCAACCAAGCCGAGCGAGTCGTGAGGAAAGGGCCCCAGAGTTGTTGAAGTCCCGAGTGCAACAGAAGACAACAGATTCGTTTAATAAAAAGTTTGTATGGTATCGAATGTCAAAAACATCTGGTCAGGCCGTGTGGCGACACACCTTCTGGTTCGGCACGCTCTCTGCTTCGTGACAGTCTTGGGTGATAGTGCAGTTCTTTCGTTTTTCTACGAAGCATCTTCATGGTCCTGGAGAATCCAGGGAACCATGCTATCGGCAATCACAGCAGAGGTGTTTTTTCGATGATTGGCCATCGAGTACCGAGACGCATTTGAGCTAGACGATCTCTAGAATCATCTCTTCTAGCCAAATTAGACTGCATCCACGCGTTCACCAATGTTTCGAACGCTAGTAGTTTGTATAATTAGTGGCTTGAAGCAGGATTGCGCCAAATCGTTGCGCTCTAGTTACCAACTCGACACCATAAAAGTCAACGAGACCGCAAGCAACCCTCTCAAAGTTCAATCGCATACGACGTGCGAGATGAGCGAATCCGAGATTCGATTGCGGGCAACACCCCTTTCCTCGCTTCAAGCTTTGCAGTCCACGCCGTTCAACACGCGAGCCCCGAGGACGCCGATACTGACGCTCCGGTTACTACTCTCACAGCGCTTTGCGCGCCTACTGGCATCGAATACAGGCGATGCGGTTTGCAGTATTTGCTCGTCGCTGGATAGTTTTGGAGCAAAATTACTGCTGCCACGTCTGAGGCAAGCAGCTCCGACGCATGCCTGCCCCCGAACAGCGTCAACTTGGAGTACTCGTAGCACTACGGTGCCGAGTACTTGCTGGTCGACTGCGAAGGCACACCAGGTATATTTTCCCGTTGGAAGAGCAAGGCGCCACAGCCATTCACCTAAACGAGCGTCGAGCGTTCAGCGTTCAGCGTCGGCAGCACTCACATCATCGTTCCCCATCTGTTTGAGACGTGACATTCCTTCCCATACACATATGTAGTCTATCGAATCCAAGATTCCCTCGGCGACCCACTTCCTTTTCCTCATGCAGCACCACATGGTGCGGCTCGCGCTCGGCTCGGGTGAGCTCACTTTGCCTTTTCCTCAGTCGTCCCGCCAGCATGGTCAACAAGTTCTTCCTCCGCGGCCTCGGCTTCTTCAACGACGCGTACGACCTCCAGGTCATCAACATCGTCAACATCATCCTCAAGCACCAGTACCGCACCGAGTACACGGCCGACATGAAGTCCAACGTCTCGACCGCCGCGCTCATCGGCGCTGTCCTCGGGCAGCTCACGTTTGGCTTTCTCGGTGACATGTACGGCCGCAAGAACTGCATGATTGCGACCTGCGCCATCTTGAT